GTCTGTAGTAAGGACAACCGTATGCAGGAAAATGTACCAAATATCCAAGATTGGGATTAGTTATTAAAGACCCTTTTCACAATTTCTTCTTCCATCTCCATCCATATAAGCCTGCATTGTTTCTGTGACCTCAGCAGTGATAGGAAAGTGCCAAATTATTCACACGTTGTTCCGCCCTCCCTCCGACTCTTAAAAATCTCTGTAGTTTGTTAACACCACGCAGGATGTAGATGTGTACTTTCCTTGAAGAAACTCTGCAACCGGCCACTGGCCCACGTCTTCCGGTTGTTTGCTTAGCGTTGAAAAATCTGGGTCTCAGGGATTTAAAGTCTGTTTTCCACTTCTGTTCAAAATTAAGGCTATTTGTCGCCAAACATGCCTGAGGTTCAACCTCTTTTCTTTAAAAGAACAGAAGAAAAGAAAATCTTCTGGAAGCAACTTTATATCAACAGGTGCAAGTTTTCCTAGGTCCCCTCTATCTCCCACTCCCGCCAGCTCAGCTCCTAGGACCGACGTGGACCTACAATTGCTCAGTAAAACCTATCGAGATAAAAAGCTGCGAAACTATGTAAAGTGGCTCTCCGCGGATTAAATTGGAGTGAAATTGATCTGCCTCAGTCCCGGCGGGGGTGCAATATAGTGCCCTCCCTTCTCAACCGGCAAGTTTCAAGCTGATCAAGGAGTGTCTCTTTATTGCGGCCAAGGACCCCCATCAGAAAAAAAGTGGTGGGCGGGCAGCAAACGCAACTTCAAGGTCAACGTTCTTCTGGGGGCTGGAAAGCGGCCAAGGATGCCCGGGTCTTGAGCTCTGGAGGCCGTCCAGCTTGGGGCGTTGGGTGAGGCTGGGGAGGGCACAGAAGTCGCAACCTGAGCAATTTCCACAGGAGGGTTCAGATGCGACCTTCGCCGCTGGACGCCCCCGCGGCGAGGAGAGCACTGCTTGGATAGTCTCTCCACAGTTCTCAGGAAAATGGCTTTTTCAAAGCTGCACCTGAGAGAAGTTGATGTCACTTTTGTTAAACTTTGTTTTTACTTCCTCGAAGTTTCTCAAATAGATAAATAGAAACACACACAGTGGCCATATTCTACCTCTCAGAAAGCACACCATCTAGTCCCAGTGTTCCGAGGTTTTCCTAATTTCTAAATTCAAGTTAAGTAATAAACTGTTTATCATGGGCTATAGAAATTACGAAAAGGAACTCCTTGGATCTTTTTTAAAGGTTGGCTAGGTCTTGTTCTGGTTTAATTAGCCTCCTGTATCCATTCCAAGCAAATTATTAATAGAGTTGATGACAGAAAAGTTTAAGAATGGCCTAATAATTTGTTAGATCTAAAATTCAATTCCCTAATTTCTACACATTGCTGCTAAACTGTATTATTTTAGAATTCTTTCAGTATATATATATATTTTTTTACAACATGCTTCAGTGTATTATTTAGCATGTAGCACTCGGCTGAGCTGTGTTTCTGATCCTTGATGTTATGTTGGGCAAAAGGCCAGGCTAAATCAAACAGCCCAGCAACTGGGACGCCCGACTGGCCTGCCGGCAGCGCCTGTAAAGTAGTCAGAGCTACCCTCGTCCGCTGGGAGCAGAGGCGAGAGTCTCCTGAGTGTCCTGTTTCTCCAAAATTATAGTATCTCACAGTGACCTTCGCTGAAAAACTGCGCAGTCAGCAGAATTCCCTTCCAATGCTTTCTTAAGGGGTCATTTGAGGGTCAGGGGATTTCTCAGCGAGGTCGTGTCCCATCCTCTTACTGCGTCTTCTCTTCTTGTACCTCTGCCACTTGTCCAACATCAGACACCTGGATCCTTTTCTCCTTCTTGGAGGAACTATGTCCATGATCCCAGGAAGAACTATGTGAGAGGCTTACATGGCCCTTGCGCTTTGCCCAAAACCTGGCAGCAAGATCCCATTTAGGTGAGGAGAGGAAGCTGAGGCTGAGACTTAGGGTTGATGACGATTTAGCCAGGTATCCAGACATCGGGGCAGATGTGTTTTCATTGCCCTGTAAGATAAATGCCATATTAAGTGTCTGACAACTTCCCAGAACCAATCAGCAAAAGTTTACGATTGCATAAACCTCAAAGACCATTCCTCGAACGTTGTTAGAAGGCTCGCATTTAAAGCTTCTATAAATTCTTCGGCCATTTCCCAAAGCAAAATTTCCAAAGACGAGAAGGTTTTTGTTTAAGTGTCTAAAGAAAAAATTACACCAAAGTTTGTTCAGTAAGTTTGGATGGCTGGAAGAGGTGGAAGGAGACGAAGGACTGCTTGGGGTTTGGGAAGGTTCGAGAAAGCAGGGGTGATCTGAAGGTTGTGGGTCCACACCGGACAGGTGGCGCATTTCCAGACCTCATGGGTGATGGCTACTGAACAATCCCGGCACTACATAGTAAATATAACCCTATGTGGCGCCCGTAGCTAAGCCTGCGATATACCCCGTCCGGACAGGGTCGAGACTTCGCCTTGCCAGTTTCCACTCTGCAACCCGCGGAAGTCTGAAGGCCGACTGTGGAACGGTGAGGCATGTGGGGACCTGTGGAGAGAGCCAGGACAGAACTATCCTTCATCCTCTCTGTAACTGGCGTGAGGACTTTAATAAGTTAGCATCAGGCACACTCGATCCACCTTTGTTTATAGAGAACCTTTGTTTATGATCCCAGTGAAAACAAAGCTGCTGATTGAAAAACAATAACACTGTCGTGCTTTTAGCATCCTAAAGGGAGAGGTTAACATCTGGGAGCTCCGGGGGGAGGGAGGAGAGAGAAAAGGAGGGGTGCAGTAAACTAAGGGCCGCTTGAATGTAAATGTGCCTTGGGTCCTCACGTGGGTCGACTCAAGCGTTCAAACCAGCAAGCGTGGGTCTTAGGAAAACCTCCTGCAACCCCGCCACTTCGTCTCAATTTGGGGGTTCCAATAAATGTGAAGGTGCGTAAGGAACCCAAGGCTTAGTAGTATTTCTGTCCCTGTGAGACTAACTCTCAGTCAATTACTTAGGAAAGATGCCGCTGGGCCCCTTTTTCTTCCTCTCCAGGTGAAAATGCAGACATTTGTGTCGCTGTCATCCTTCCTTTATGAAATAAGGCGCCCAACTGTTCCGGATATTACCATTCAAAAACAGGTTCTGTGGCGAACCTCATTTGTGAATCTATTACAGAGATTAATAGATTATTTCTCCTTTTTCAACTAATTCTCAGTGGGGAAATTTAACCATATGGTAAGGAGAGAATTAGAATTTCATCACATTAGAGCAAAATGTAATGAAAAGAATCCAACACCTGGGGCCAACTCTGAAAGACACAATTAAAAGGTTTTTAATGAAACCAGAGAAACCAAAAATTTCATAGCCTTCAGTAATTCTGCCACATAAGAAAGATTTATTGGAGGTGTTGGGAAATATTGTTTTTACTTATGTCATAAGTATGAAAACCAGCCGCTAAATGCCATGTGCTACCAGAGACTGAAATCAGGAACGGAGGACTGTGTGTACCCTTTTGGCTGCGGAGAGGAGCACTTGCTTTCATAGTTTTCCCTTTACTGACCCTCTGAGAACAACCGAGTCAGAGTCACTGGTTCCCTGAATGGCTTCCTAGTTGTGGCAGTTACGTTTCCGGGTAAATAACTGTGCACTGTGTGGGTGAGAACATTTAACTTCTAGTGAAGTTGACAGTTCCGAAACAACTGGATTTGAATTTTGAAAGTTTGAGGAACCTGTTTCATCTATTTAGGAAATCGTGTGTTTCATAATCGCCATCAATATAGTAGTTATTTGCAGATGGTTGCAGAAGCAGCAACCCCCCCCCCCACGCCCGCCTTTTTATAAAATCTAATGGGCTGCATAATCAACTTGCTTTTTTGTGTGTGCATCCGGGTAGGAAATGGGGAGGGGTATGTGGAAATAAGACTTAGGGGGAATGGTTGCTTTGCTCCCAGTAACTGAAAATCTAGGGTGAATTTTGGGTAAGTCAGCGGGGACCCCCTCCCCCCCAACACACACACATCCCAACACCAAATCCAAACTCGAGTCCTCCAACGAACAGGGGTGGAGTACAATTCTTTCCTGGAAGGGTAATTGAGCACAAGCCGTCTGAACTGAGGCAAGGGAAGGGCAGTGGGGGTGGGGTGGGGTGCAGTGCTGAGCGGTGGGTGGGGGCGTCAGCTTTCCACGGGACTCCCAGGCTTCGCTGACGATCTACAATTTGCTGAAGGAGCAAAGAACATCCTCGGCTCTAAGTAGGGCTTTTAGTGTGCTCATTGATGAGTGAAAGTCGCCACACATGTCAAGCTAAAGGCAGTTGTTGGGTTACTAACAGGACCCAGCGCCTTGCAAACATATGCGCTAAGCTGTGTATACAGATGGCAGGCAGAATAATGGAGCAGGCGCCTTTTATAAAGCTCTAGCTGCTGCCTGTCTTCAGACCTGGGAAATGAAACTATTCAGACTTGCGGCCAGATAGCGCCTGCGATTGTTTGTTACCGTTTTAATCCTATTAATTAAAACGTTAACCTGATTGGGTAGAAAGGCGCTGTCCCAACAGGCGAGTCTTCTTCATAATAACCTACTCAGAGATAATGATGTAAAAGACTCCCCCGTCTGTGGCGGCGGCTGGTTGATGGGTCCAGAAATCTCTTGAAGGTGAATCCAAGCAAGATAAACGGTGCGGAGAGGAGGCGCCGGGCTGGGCTTAGCGCGGCGGCAGCGGCGGCTCGACTCCCTGCGCGCCCACCTCCCACCATGCGGGGCCGCAGCCCATGGTGAGCCCCAGCAACCAGCACCATCGGCTGGAGACGAAGAAGAAAAAGAAGAGGAGGCGGCGAGCGCGGGGGAAGGCGAAAAAGAAAAAGAAAGAAGGGGAGAGGGCTGCAGGCAGCGCGTGGACCGACGCGCGCACCAGCCCCGGAGCCCGGCTCAAGCGCGTCTGCGGCGCCGCCTGACTCCTGAGCCTAGGCGGCGGCGGCGGGAACCGCGGGCCTGGGCTGCGCGCCGGCGCCGGACCATGGAGCGCGGGCTGCACCTCGGCGCGGCCGCCGCGGGCGAAGACGACCTCTTCCTGCATAAGAGCCTGAGCGCCTCCACCGCCAAGCGCTTGGAAGCGGCTTTTCGCTCCACGCCTCCAGGCATGGACCTGTCTCTGGCGCCGCCGCCTCGGGAGCGCCCGGCATCCTCCTCTTCGTCGCCCCTGGGCTGCTTCGAACCGGCTGACCCCGAGGGGGCAGGGTTGCTGCTGCCACCGCCCGGAGGCGGCGGTGGCGGCGCGGGAGCAGGCGGCGGCGGGGTGGGCGTCCCCGGGATGCTTGTGGGCTCTGCTGGCGTTGGGGGCGACCCCAGCCTGAGCAGTTTGCCGGCCGGGGCTGCCTTATGTCTCAAATACGGCGAGAGTGCTAGTCGGGGCTCGGTGGCCGAAAGTAGCGGCGGTGAGCAGAGCCCCGACGACGACAGCGACGGGCGCTGCGAGTTGGTGCTGCGGGCCGGAAGCGCGGACCCGCGGGCCTCCCCGGCCGCGGTGGGCGGTGGCGCCAAGTCGGCAGAGGGTTGCTCTAACGCCCACCTCCACGGCGGCGCCAGCGTTCCCTCGGGGGGCCCGGGCGGCGGCGGCGGCGGCGGCGGCAGTAGCAGTGGCGGCAGCAGTAGCAAGAAATCCAAAGAGCAGAAGGCGCTGCGACTCAACATCAACGCCCGCGAGCGCCGGCGGATGCACGATCTGAACGACGCTCTGGACGAGCTGCGCGCTGTGATCCCCTACGCGCACAGCCCCTCAGTGCGGAAGCTCTCCAAGATCGCCACGCTGCTGCTTGCCAAGAACTACATCCTCATGCAGGCACAGGCCCTGGAAGAGATGCGGCGCCTTGTCGCCTACCTCAACCAAGGCCAGGCTATCTCGGCCGCCTCTCTGCCCAGCTCGGCGGCTGCGGCTGCGGCGGCCGCTGCCCTCCACCCAGCTCTCGGTGCCTATGAGCAGGCGGCCGGCTATCCGTTCAGTGCCGGGCTGCCCCCTGCCGCCTCCTGCCCTGAGAAATGTGCCCTGTTCAACAGTGTCTCCTCCAGCCTCTGCAAACAGTGCACGGAGAAGCCTTAAAAACACAATCCCGAAACACCAGACAGACCCAAAAGTAGATGAAAAAGAAAAGCTGCCACCCCACCCCTTTTATTTTGGCCCTCTCTTAGTTGCGAACCACTTGCAGAAGAAACAAAGCAGAGGGGAGAACTGAGGAGACGTATCAGAAACAAAAGGGACTTTTAGCCTTGTCATCCCTAGAATCTTGGTCTTTGGGGTGGGGAGGGAGGGGTGAGGGAGGAAAAGTAGGGATGGAGTATGGATTTTTTTCTCTCTCTCTCTCAGAAAAGTGGCTACTTGGTGGCAGCCTAGACCAGAGGAAGAGAAATCCTCTGTTATGGTGAAAAATGAGTTGAGAAGCAGTAGCTTTGTAATTAAGGCGTGGAGAGTATTAAATGATAAAATACTAATCCTACTAATGCTTATCAATTTGACTCTTGCTTAGGGGGAGAGAAGTCCGGGGTTAGGTGGCTTGTCGGACGGAAGATTCATTCAGACAAATCAGAAAGGGCACTTGAAAATACATTTTGATTCTGAGCCAGGATAAAAACTTGAAATGCAGACTTATTTAAATGAATAAAAGGAAAATCACACACACACAAACCCACAGAGAGAGACACTGCTATACAGACTTGTATTTTTTATTGTCTCTGAACTTGAATCCTGTGAAAATGCTCAAAGTTTTGGCGAGAGTGATGCAAAAACTGACTGTGGCTGAAAGAATTGCATTTTTAAATATTTATGTGCACCTTGTTCCTTTCCACTTGGCAATGATGTATAACAAGTCATGGTATTTATTTGTTACTCTTCAATGACCCTTCTACATCAACAGTATTTATCATGTGTTAAGGTCTTATGTGCAGATTTTTTTAAAATGCTTCTAAAATTCTGTTTTATAGATTAACTTATACTGTGTACCAAGTGTTTAAAAGGTTTATTTGCCAACAAGTATGAAGAGAAATGTTGATGTATCTTAGCTGTTTAGGTTTATGAAAGATCTCATGGATATTTTTAGTTGCATCATCCCTGTATTTAAATTGAGCTTTAATAAATTGCTTCAGTCCAAAAATTACAGGAAAGGTGTATTCTTAATTGATGAATGAATTGATCTCTTTTTTGAAAGGGGATTCCTTTGCATTCTAAAAGGGAAAGATATCACAGCAATAGACCCTATAAGTAGCAACATACTGAACAAATATTTTTCCAGGCTGTGCTGTGCATTTTTAAAAGGTCTAATTTAATTGCTTTTAATATATATATATATACATTTATATAAGTTATTTTAACTGTGGAGAGTTATTTAAGTTAAAATACTGGTTTGATTTGTTTATGGTGTGAAATTCTTTGTTATTTTTCTAAAAAAAATAAAATGTAAAAAGAACTAAAACCGAGGAAGAGAGAGTAGCTATTTACCCAAAGCAAGCTTTAAGTTTTAGTTTGCATGGCTGTTGCCTGCCCTTCTGTCCTATGAAAAATCAAGAAAACCATTTTTAAAAATGGAGTCCTGCTATTTTCCATTCACTGCGGATAATACGAATTCAATTTGTCAGGTTGGATGGTGAGTTGCGAGCTGTGATAGATCTCTTGATGGGTTTTGGATGTGTAAAGACTGATATATATATATATATATATATATATAATAGGTCAATCAGACTATAACAGCTATGTATGACCATTTGTATGTGTATCTATGTCAGAAAGAATATTTATTAAAATATTTTGATCAAACATTTTATTATGCTGTGCTTTATGGAAGGAGCAATCACCTCTCTCTGGTGTTAACTCTGCTTGAAAAGTAAAAAACAATGGTATTTTAAAGAAGATGGAACTAAAGTTTTGGCAGGGATACACAACTAGGAGTAGGCCGGTATTAGTAACTTTCACTTGTTAAAAAGGCATTGGCTGGGCCTGGTCATTGGAGGAGAGATGAATAGGTCAGTGTTGAGACCCAGAGGAGGTTGGGAGTTCTTGGCCTTTTGCATGAACTTTGAAGCCCATGCAAATGGAATTCTTTTCTTACTTCTATGTCAGGACCCATCAAAGAAGGTAAAGTTTCTTAATACGTTTTTAATCTAAATTTCTATCTCCAGCTGCCTGAAGGCCAAGTAAAAGAGATGGATTTGGATTCTCTGAGCCCTAGTTTTATTGAGACAGTATCAACCTGGTTGAATTATAAATATAAATAATGCCCACAGAGACTTTCAGTACTTTCTAGTGTTACTTGTTAATGATGTTTTTAGGATCTATGTTTTGATTGGGTTGGATATTGATTCTATTATAGAATGTCTGTGTAGACCTGTTGTTGGACCTTAAATTGTCCTCAAATGTTGAAGGTTTGATTTTTATTGTGGTGGAGACTTCGCTTCAGAGGTGGTGGTGGTGATTTTGAAGAAGTCACAGTGTGGCTGCCTTCCCTAGCGTGTGAAATGCATTTTTGCCTGTATAGTTTCAGCTCATAATGATAGCCCTAAATGCCATCAAACTTAGAGGGGGATGATGAGGGGTATTTTTCTGCTCCACTTGCCATCAAAAAAGATTAATCAGAACCTGTAACTTTTTAGAAAGCTTAACAGCAAAGACCTTGAAGCTGGAGCCCTCCCACACTGGCACTGGGTTGGAAGTAGGGAAGAGACCAGGGTAGCCTCTAGGCAGGAGGAGATCTGTCTCTAAGCATTTACCAGACAAAGCCTGGGTGCATCTAATTATGATTATTAAAACAATTTCCATGACGATGTCTAATATTATGTTAATTTGAAAACAACTGTGTATGAAAACTGTCGACTATAATACCTAAATTCATTTAATGAAACACATCGTTAAGGCAATTAAACCTCCTGGATGTGATTAAGAAAGATAATTACGACACAGTTCTGCACCATAATTGGGTGTCTTTAATCAAGGGGTAAAGTGATCAGCAACACAACCATTAGTTTGTATTGTTCTGGTCCTGCTGTCCATCATTCTGATTAGAAATTAACCATAGTCACAACCAGTCGGATTGTTTTCCCCTTTTGCATATTAACATCATAGGGGACACATTTGCTGCAAGATTTACTGCTTAATATTTCTCATCATTAAGAAGTCTTCCTTGAAATACTTCCTCTGTAACCTCTGTACTGTTCAACTATTATTAGAAATTGTACAGAACAAAACAATCTTGAACTTCAGAGAGAAATAAATGTTCACCCCCCTCTCACCCTTTAATAGCTCAGCCTAGAGTTATGTCCTGAAATAGATTTGAAATAGGTGTGGTGTGGGGTGGGGATGGGGGTGGGGTGAGGAGAGGAAATGCTGAGACTAAATTGGAATGTCAGAGGAATAAGTGCCATTTTTGAAAGTAACAGGGGTAATAAGATTTACTTTCACTTGGATAATTTCATGTAAATTAACCATTTTTCTCCTAAACCTAGGAGTTGGTCAGTGTGTGGTTTTTGGGATACACTAAGAAATCTGAAGGGATTTGGAAAGGGATTTTCCAGGATTATTTTAGGTGGCCTTCCCTCCCTAACTCCAACTTTTCCAGACTTTACGCAGCATCTTGAAAGAAAGAACCCAGTAGTTGGAGACACAGCTCTTCCCCTACCCAGAAAACACCTGGACGCTTCTCTTCCGAGGTTTCAGTCCGGAGTTTCTGCCCAGGCTGGAGCGTTGGTCACTTACTACTGGGCACCAATGCTCTTCGCTGTATGGAGCATCCACGTCTGTGTGACTGAGCAACAGTGTGGTTTTCTTGCCCAAGTGACCTTGGATCAGAGCAGACAGCCTGAATTTTAAGGATTGCAGCATCCTCCAGGTTACCTTGGCTTGGGCCCGGGAACCCACTCAATCATCCACTATGCTTTAGAGGGCTCCTCCCCATTCCCGGCACCCTCGATAAGGTCAACCTGCTGCTCTTTTTTCTTACGGAGCTGAGAGTGCACTGAGGCCCAGGGAAGACTTGGCATTTTAATTCCACTTAGATCCCATTGTCAGCTTGACTCTGGGCACCAACAGGAGCTTCGATTTTGCATCTAATTGTATAGAGGCAGCAATCTTCAAGAGCTCCCGAGCCAAAATACTTCTCCCTCCAGTGGTGCAAGTGAGTGTGTGTGTGTGTGTGTGAGTGCGCATGTGAGAGAATGGGTACGCACGTGTGTGTGTGCTCTTCCATTTCTTCTCAACTCTTTGTAGCTGAACGCTCTCTTCTAGACCCTATGTTGCGTTTACATTCCACACTCTCTTATGCTTCCCACAACCCACATCGATTTGATTGCAGAGTGTGGTGGGTGCACCAGGGAGGGCCGAGGTTTATGCATAGCCCTTCACTCCCAGGACCGACCGGATCAAATCTTTTTAGGCGTCCCGGCCCCCTGCGACTGCTCCAGTTTGAGGGGCATTGGCTTTTCCAATGTAATGACATATGAAAGATATAATCATGTGTTAAATTGAATCCTCCGTTTAACTGTTAATGGTGTGCTATGGGCACATTTACGTATCAGATGCTATAGTAACTAATTACCACTAGGAAAAAGGATAATACACTTTATAGACTTTGAAAAATAATGTTGAGACTTCACTTCCAGGCTTGCAGCGCATCGCAGAGATTGGCCCGTGAAGCGACGGAGCGAGTAGAGACTCGAAAGTGCTCTTGGAAGGCGGGAGGTAATGAATTCTGGCCAAGTGAGGCTCCTTTAGAAAAATCTTTAATGAAAATATGATTCCAAAGGGAAAGGAAGGGAAGGAGGTCAACTGCACAACGGTACTTGGAAACAAAATTACAGGGCTAAACATAAACATAAGAAACGTAAATACGTTTTCTTGTAATTAAAATGCAGGTCAGATCAAATTATCCACGTGCCAAGAAGCTTTACGTCAACTAACATTTTTGGTTTGGTGGTGCGGGCAAAATAAAGGAGCGGGTCTCCGCCGGCGCGCTCCTTAGCCATTTCAAACTCGGATGCTCCTGGATTTGCCAAGTTCATGAGCAGCAGGTTGATCGAAACTCGGTCCTCTAAATCAAATGTTCAGCACAGCGGATGGAA